AGAACTAACAGGCAGGATACAAACTCTGATCACAGGAATACACAGCTCACAGAACAGGATGACAAGATACAAAACGAACAAGCACCGAGTAACAAACACAAGGACCTTAAATAAGGGACATCATCACCAGGGCACAGGTGACACCGATGAACAATCAAGACTAACGAGGAGAACAAGGGGGCGTGGCAAACAACACAAGACAACGCAAACACATAGCCCAAAACACAGGCCATGTGTTTGCACACACAACATAACAAATCGTGACAATTACATGTTCAGAGTACACGAGTACTTAACCAAAAGAACAATGGTGGACTGTTTGCGCTGCTCAATATATGGAGTTTATTAACGCTTCTCCAGCAAAGTGTAGCTTTACTACAAACAGTGGAGATGTATTTAAATTAGGGCTGTCAATCGATTAATTTTTAATCTAATTAATTACATACTCTGTAATTATTAATCTAAATTAATCGCATACACAATCTTACAATGTTTACATGGTAGAATTTCTGGTAAGCTACGTTTTTATTATTATTGCTTGACACAAATTTCACGATTTCAATTTAATTCTTGTGATTTGATGCAATATTGACTCATTTGGATAAATATTAGGTACACAAGATAGGCATTCATTTTTCTCAAGAAAAAAAACCATCTCACCCAATGCTGTAAAAATACAGAGAGCCATATCAGCTGGTAGTATTTAAGGTTAAAAATAGCTCAAATTAAATATAATGCGTGTTTATTACAAATAACAACTTTGATAAGTAAAAATAAATATAATACATATGTAATATAGTAGTAGGCTACATAAATTTAGAAAAAACACTCTCTATAGCTCTTTTTTTATAGCCAACTATAACGTGCTATCATATGGTCATGAAATTACTTTCCTGAGGTAACTTAGGCTAAATGTTATGTGACATAATTGTTCTCCAGCTGTTTTATTGACCTCTTTTCGCGGTTGAAAAACACTGATTGATCGAGGAATATACATTTCGGTAAGTTTTAGGCTGCCCTACTGTATCTTTCAACATTGTTCATTCGTGTTTATTTACTATTAGCTAGAGATGATTGGTTCACGTGCCGCTATAGGGATCTGTCATGTCACATTTACAAGCGCCAACGGTATTTATTGTTTGATTTTCGTAATAAAATTGACAGAATCTGAGAGCTGAGATTTTTTTAATATCATAAGTAACGTGCTCTGTCTTGTCTGTTTCCGTGTCCTCTCTTTGGTGCGCGATTTTTCTGTACGTGAGAAAATGGTTGTGTGACGTGAAAGACCGTGAAAAGTTACAACACACACACACACAAGCCCGCTTTCTCTCAGACATACTCACCGACTCATGCACACACTCCTGGATGCTTTGCATTGATGTGGTACTTTAGAGTTGACGAACTCCGTTTGTTATAAGTAAATGTTTCAAACAATCAAGCAGCGCGTTCTTGTCTCCCTCCTTTTTACACGAATGGTGGCTACGGCTAGAACGGCTCCGCAAAGGTCAAAACGGAATGGATTAATCTGCGTTATTTTTTTTAACGCGTTATTTCTTCTCAGATTAATTCATCGAAATTAACGCGTTATTTTGACAGCCCTAATTTAAATGCGTCAAAGAATGCTTGTGCACAGGCATGTATAAGGGATATAGCCAACTACTGGCCAGGCAGCAGAATACAGTGTTTTTAGTTGCTTTTGTTGATCTGTGAATGGGGATGTCTTGTAACCGTGATGTTGTCTGTATGTGAAACCTCACATACCTTTTAGTATTTTGTTGTCAATAAAATGCACCCTAAAACTGCATTTAAAAATTGGCACAATGTGGTTTTTGGGTGAGTATTGCATGTCCCTGTGCAGAATGTGAAGTCACCTTTATGAAGCGCTTTATACAAGTTGTTTCAAAACAGCTTTACAATGATAACAGGAAAATTGTGCATTTCAGCTGAAGTCAGTTCAGTGTTGATTCAGTTCAGTTGAAAAGATAAATTATTAAATTAATTTCATCTGTAAAGCAGTTACAAAAAAAATGTCATCCAGCTCAGTTCAGTTTTCATACAGCATTGTTGTCAGATCAATAATATTGTTGAATATTACTTGTTGCTTAAGGCTTTCCGGTATTGTTGGTAACATGCTGTTGCTCAAGCTTTTTAGGTACTGCTAACATGCTTGTTGCCTTGGCTCACTCGGGTAACTGCAAAAAAAAAAACATTCAGATTTGCGCTCAGTTTATGTTGGGGGATATTGGCATATGGTTTTGTTTTGGGGGTTATTGCTGCTCTCCCTGCTCTTATGCATTTTAGGCTGCATGGATGCGCAGGGAGTTCTTGCCCAGAACGGAACCATACCGCCCATCCAAACTGTACGCTAATTGTCAATCGTATTTGACGATAGTGGTCCTGACAGAAATCAGACGCCATTTTTCTTATGGTGCAACGAGTACATAAGGATTTATAGGAAGTGTTCCCGGTTCCGGCTGACATAATCTATGCAGCCTAACATTGAATTATAAAAATGTATAATATGTTATGTGTATGCTAGGTCAAAGAGATGTGTGATTTTAGTCTAGATTTAAACTGACAGAGTGTGTCTGCTTCCCGGACAATGTTTGGAAGACTGTTTGAAGACCGCCAGCAGTCGATTTTGATATTTTAGGTATTATCAACTGTCCGGAATTTTGAGATCGCAATAGACGTGAAGGACTATAATGCGTTAAGAGCTTGCTCAAGTACTCGCTAAACCATTTAGTGCTTTGTATGTTATCAGCAATATTTTGAAATTTATACAATGTTTAATAGGAAGCTGTGGTGGCAAACAATTTTCTATTACTGAGAGACAAACATGTACCAATTGTCTTTAAAGATTATTTATTCTCTTGAAAGGAACGGTCAGCAATCATACAGTCATTCAGAGTGGCTGCAGACTGTGACAATGTGAGGAGGGCATCCTTCCTTCTTTATAGTCCCTACCCCACCCCCCAAAGTTATTTCTCTATGCCAAATGATTGCCTTAGCCATAACTAACACTTCGTTAGATTTGCTTATCTTATAGTGGAGGCCCTCTGTCTCGGTCATACACATCAGCCACACATTACTTTTTGTCAAGTCACCTACACAAGGTCATACAGATTATTCTGTTCTGACCAATTGCGTAGCTTGAGCAAAGCAAGCAAACTTTCATCTGCAATGGTGAAAGTCTCAAATTGGTTAAGTCTTGTTTGTCTCTTAATGTAAGCAAAACAGTTTGCATGTATTTCACTGTACGAAAACAGAACTCGTCATTCCAGACATCATATTTAATGGTGAAGCAATCAAATCTGTGACACATGTTAAATATTTAGGAATAATAATAGACCAACACCTGTCTTTTAAAAAGCAAGTAAGAAGGGTTATAAATAATGTTAAATATAATTTAAATAATTTAAAAATAATTTCTTAATAATTTTAATAATTTCTAAATCAGCTGCACTACTTTTTGTACATACTCTGATTCTCCCTCACTTGTCATATTGTATAACAACTTGGTCACAAGCAGGTGCAACTACACTTAAGCTGGTGTACTCCCTCCATAAACAAATTATGAAAGTGCTAGACAAAAATACAAGGGACTATCATCATTGTACTATTTTGAAAAGGTTCAATTTTTTAAATTTTAATAATTTTGTATTTTATACTGATGTGTGCCTGATGTACTAAATTATTCATAATCTTGCTCCCCCTCCTCTTAAGGGATGCCTGGCCCATAACGGAAGTGCCGGTTGGACTACAGCATCTGCCAGGGGAGATTTTAGCTTTTTCGGTTACAGTAGTGGGGATATGGAATTCCTTACCCACAAACATCCGAAGCATTGATAGCTTCTCAATTTAAAAAAAAAAAAAAAAAGCTTAAGTACTGGCTACTATCAGAACAAATCTGCAACCATTAATGACTGTGTTGTAAATTATCTGTTTTATATACTGATTTAGTAAATCTCACATTCCTGGACATATGTATTGTGATGTTTTATGTGGTGTATATGTAATATTGTATGTTATTTTATTTGTTTACCTGCCCAGGGGCAGCAGATGTAAATTAGCTATTAGCCAACTCTGGTGCAATTATTTTTAATTGTGCATTGTCCCTGTAAAAATAAACAATAAAATGAAACGAAATGAAAGGCTTAACAGACTTAGCATACAACTTGAAAAAAGAACTCCAGAAAGCAGTCTTCATAACTTTAGTGAATTTAATGGTGATTCGCTTCTCAATATTTTTTTCTGTAAAACTACAAACAAGTAGAAAAAATGTATGAATATTATGTTCATATTTACATACACATAACCAGCTTAACATTAAGTCAGGCAGCTCAGAAAAATAAAACTACTTCTAAAATTATTTTTCTGATTACACTGGCAGAATGTGTTCTTGTGTTCAGCATAAACTCATGAAGATTTTTCAGACAACAAGACTTAATATATAATGTCATCTTGATTCTCAAGTAAATGTATCTTGATTTAAGAATGTTAAGATACTCAGGAAGAAAATCTTTTTTTTTTTTTTTTTTTATATTCATGACAAACAACTTTGATTTGTGCACTGCTTGCAGAATAGTGCTCTGGTAAAAGTAGCAACAGTATATCTTGACTACATTTTTTTAATGTTTGACAGTAGGTTTTAAAATAAAGTAGTGTAATGAGCTAAATAATTCATTTACTTTGTTTGACTCTTTTGACACTTTCCCTCTTTATTTATCTGTTTAGATGTTGTCACTTAAATTCAACTTAGTTGTTTTTGTGTCTGAGAAATGGTCTGGTTTAATAGAAAAAAAACATATAATCTGATGTGTTAAGGAAAGATAAATTTAGCAAATTACAATAGTGATTTTTCAACCAACCAATGAGTGCACGGGAATGTTAACGAGCAGATCCTCTGTCACTAATTTCACTGTAACAATCCCAGGTGATGAAAATCTGTGTTTTTTTAAAAGCCCTGGCTTGAAGACTGTTTTTAGAAAGCATAGAGAGGATGGTGATTGTTTCATCTGTAATCAAGATGGCAATTTCAAACTTTATGTTTTTGGTCTTTTTGTGTCACCAACTGGTGCCCAATGGTAAAGCTGTTTTCACTTTAGTGTAAGGTTTCAAATGTGAAATACACATGTAACGTTTTTCTTTTTTTACCTTACATCTTGTTTTCAGGATTTGCCTCTCCAGTTGGGCGTCATTTTTACCAGACTGATATTGAACAAGCACGCTTGGAGAGCAAAGGTTTGTAACTATTATATAGTGGTTAACATGAATTTTTTTATTTTTTTTTTACACTATCCAAAGTTAACTTTAACGAGGCCTGATTACTTGTATTCAAGTTAGTAATACATTTTATGTTCCAGATGGTCCCTTGTCTGTCCCTTGTGTGAACAGACAAAATCCAACATGGCCAGTGGTAGTGAAATGTAAAATGGCTGTTGAGATGTCTTTGCCGAATGCATCTGGGCCAACTATCCAAAAAGGTGACTTTTGTGCTGATGCTATGAGGTTGAGGTTGACAGAGACACTGAGGAAAGAAAACTATTTATTTATTATTTATTTTAAACCAATATTCTTTAGGCATTGATTGGAAGTTGATGGAGACCAACCCTCTTCCTGCTGAGGTGGATGAGAAGTTAACAGCATCAAGCCATGTTCCCGCTGAAGAGTCCAGCCATGTCCGAGCTGAGGTTGATGTTGGGAAGCTCTCTAAGGCCAGCCATGTCCCTGCTGAGGTTGATGGGAAGTTGACAACATCCTGCAATGTGCCAGCTGAAGAGTCTAGCCATGTCCCTGCTGAGGTTAATGGGAAGCTCACTGAGGCCAGCCATGCCCCTGCTGAGGTTGATGGGAAAATGACAGCATCCAGCCAAGTCCCAGCTGAAGAGTCAAGCCATGTCCCTGCTGAGGTTGATGGGAAGCTAAGAGTATCCAACAATATCCCAGCTGAAGAGTCTAGCCATGTCCCTGCTGAGGTTGATGGGAAGTTGACAGTATCCAACAATGTCCCAGCTGAGGTTAATGGGAGATTGGCAGCATCCAGCCACGTCTCCGCTGAGGTTGATGGGAAGTTTACAGCATCCAGCCAAGTCCCTGCTGAGGTTGATGGGAAGTTGACAGCAACCAGCAATGTCCCAGCTGAAGAGTCAAGCCATGTCCCTGCTGAGGTTGATGGGAATTTGACAGCATCCAGCAGTATCCCAGCTGAACAGTCTAGCCTTGTACCTGCTGAGGTTGGTGGGAAGTTGACCACTTCCAGCCATGTCCCTACTGAGGTTGATGGGAAATTGGCAGCATCCAGCAATCTCCCCAATGAGGTTGCTGGAAAGTGGACAGTATCCAACAATGTGCCAGCTGATGTCGATGGGAATTTGACCGCATCCAGCAGTATCCCAGCTGAACAGTCTAGCCTTGTACCTGCTGAGGTTGATGGGAAGTTGACCACATCCAGCAATGTCCCTGGTGAGGTTGATGGGAAATTGGCAGAATCCAGCAGTGTCCCAGCTGAGGTTAATGGGAAATTGGCAGCATCCAGCCACGTTTCCGCTGAGGTTGATGGGAAGTTGACAACATCCTGCAATGTCCCAGCTGAAGAGTCTAGCCATGTCCCTGCTGAGGTTAATGGGAAGCTCACTGAGGCCAGCCATGCCCCTGCTGAGGTTGATGGGAAAATGACAGCATCCAGCCAAGTCCCAGCTGAAGAGTCAAGCCATGTCCCTGCTGAGGTTGATGGGAAGCTAACAGTATCCAACAATATCCCAGCTGAAGAGTCTAGCCCTGTCCCTGCTGAGGTTGATGGGAAGTTGACAGTATCCAACAATGTCCCAGCTGAGGTTAATGGGAGATTGGCAGCATCCAGCCATGTCTCCGCTGAGGTTGATGGGAAGTTTGCAGCATCCAGCCAAGTCCCTGCTGAGGTTGATGGGAAGTTGACAGCAACCAGCAATGTCCCAGCTGAAGAGTCAAGCCATGTCCCTGCTGAGGTTGATGGGAATTTGACCGCATCCAGCAGTATCCCAGCTGAACAGTCTAGCCTTGTACCTGCTGAGGTTGATGGGAAGTTGACCACATCCAGCAATGTCCCTGCTGAGGTTGATGGGAAATTGGCAGCATCCAGCAATGTCCCCACTGAGGTTGCTGGAAAGTGGACCGTATCCAACAACATCCCAGCTGAAGTGTCTAGCCATGTCCCTGCTGAGGTTGATGGGAAGTTGACAGTATCCAACAGTGTCCCAGCTGAGGTTAATGGGAAATTGGCAGCATCCAGCCACGTTTCCGCTGAGGTTGATGGGAAGTTGACAGCATCCAGCAATGTCCCTGCTGAGGTTGATGGGAAATTGACAGCATCCAGCCAAGTCCCTGCTGAGGTTGATGGAAAATTGGCAGCCTCCAGCAATGTCCCTGCTGAGGTTGATGGGAAGTTGACAGCATCCAGCAATGTTCCATCTGAAGAGTCTAGCCATGTCCCTGCTGAGGTTGATGGGAAATTGACAGCATCCAGCCAAGTCCCTGCTGAGGTTGATGGAAAATTGGCAGCCTCCAGCAATGTCCCTGCTGAGGTTGATGGGAAGTTGACATCATCCAGCAATGTCCCTGCTGAGGTTGATGGGAAGTTGACAGCAAATGTCCTTGCTGAAGAGTCTAGCCATGTCCCTGCTGAGGTTGATGGAAAATTGGCCGCCTCCAGCAATGTCCCTGCTGAAGAGACTAGCCATGTCCCGGCTGAGGTTGAAGGGAAGCTCACTGAGGCCAGCCATGTCCCTGCTGATATTGATGGGAAGTTGACAGCATCCAGCAATGTCCCAGCTGAAGAGTCTAGCCATGTCCCTGCTGAGGTTGATGGAAAATTGGCAGCATCCAGCAATGTCCCTGCTGAGGTTGATGGGAAGTTGACAGTATCCAACAATGTCCCAGCTGAAGAGACTAGCCATGTCCCTGCTGAGGTTGATGGGAAGTTGACATCATCCAGCAATGTCCCTGCTGAGGTTGATGGGAAGTGGACAGTATCCAACAATGTCCCAGCTGAAGAGGCTAGCCATGTCCCAGCTGAGGTTGGTTGGAAATTGGCAGCATCTAGCCATGTCCCCAATGAGGTTGCGGGAAAGTGGACAATATCCAACAATGTGCCAGCTGAGGTTGAGGGGAAGTTGACAGCTTTCAGCCATGTACCTGCTGAGGTTGATGGGAAGTTGACATCATCAAGCAATGTCCCTGCTGAGGTTGATGGGAAGTTGACCGTATCTAATAATGTCCAAGCTGAAGAGACTAGCCATGTCCCTGCTGAGGTTGAGGGGAAGTTGGCAGCATCTAGCCATGTCTCCAATGAGGTTGCTGGAAAGTGGACAGTATCCAACAATCTCCCAGCTGAAGAGTCTAGCCATGTCCCTGCTGAGGTTGATGGGAAGTTGTCAGCATCCTGCAATGTCCCTGCTGAGGTTGAAGGAAAGCTCAATGAGGCCAGCCATGTCCCTGCTGAGGTTGATGGGAAATTGTCAGCATCCAGCAGTGTCCCTGCTGAGGTTGAAGGAAAGCTCAATGAGGCCAGCCATGTCCCCACTGAGGTTGCTGGAAAGTGGAAAGTATCCAATAATGTCCCAGCTGAAGAGTCTAGCCAAGTCCCTGCTGAGGTTGATGGGAAATTGGCAGCATCCAGCCAAGTCCCTGCTGAGGTTGATGGGAAGTTGGCAGCATCCAGCCAAGTCCCTGCTGAGGTTGATGGGAAGTTGACAGTATCCAATAATGTCCTAGCTGAGGAGTCTTGCCGTGTCCCTACTGAGGTTGATTCGAAGTTGACAGCATCCAGCCAAGTCCCTGCTGAGGTTGATGGGAAGTTGACAGTATCCAGCAATGTCACAGCTGAAGAGTCTAGCCATGTCCCTGCTGAGGTTGATGGGAAATTGTCAGCATCCAGCAGTGTCCCAGATGAGGTTGATGGGAAGCTAACAGTATCCAACAATGTCCCAGCTGAGGTTGATGGTAAGCTAACAGTATCCAACAATGTCCCAGCTGAGGAGTCTAGCCATGTCCCTGCTGAGGTTGAGGGGAAGTTGGCAGCATCTAGCCATGTCTCCAATGAGGTTGCTGGAAAGTGGACAGTATCCAACAATGTCCCAGCTGAAGAGGCTAGCCATGTCCCAGCTGAGGTTGGTTGGAAATTGGCAGGGTCTAGACATGTCCCCAATGAGGTTGTGGGAAAGTGGACAATATCCAACAATGTCCCAGCTGAGGTTGAGGGGAAGTTGACAGCTTTCAGCCATGTACCTGCTGAGGTTGAGGGGAAGATGACCGTATCCAACAATGTCCAAGCTGAAGAGACTAGCCATGTACCTGCTGAGGTTGATGGGAAGATGACCTTATCCAACATTGTCCAAGCTGAAGAGACTAGCCATGTCCCTGCTGAGGTTGATGGGAAATTGTCAGCATCCAGCAGTGTCCCTGCTGAGGTTGAAGGAAAGCTCAATGAGGCCAGCCATGTCTCTGCTGAGGTTGATGGGAAATTGACAGCATCCAGCCATGTCCCCACTGAGGTTGCTGGAAAGTGGAAAGTATCCAATGTCCCAGCTGAAGAGTCTAGCCAAGTCCCTGCTGAGGTTGATGGGAAATTGGCAGCATCCAGCAGTGTCCCTACTGAGGTTGAAGGAAAGCTCAATGAGGCCAGCCATGTCTCTGCTGAGGTTGATGGGAAATTGGCAGCATCCAGCCAAGTCCCTGTTGAGGTTGATGGGAAGTTGACAGTATCCAATAATGTCCCAGCTGAGGAGTCTAGCCATGTCCCAGCTGAGGTTGATGGGAAGTTGACAGTATCCAATAATGTCTCAACTGAGGAGTCTAGCCATGTCCCAGCTGAGGTTGATGGGAAGTTGACAGTATCCAATAATGTCCCAGCTGAGGAGTCTAGCCATGTCCCTACTGAGGTTGATGGGAAGTTGACAGTATCCAGCCAAGTCCCTGCTGAGGTTGATGGGAAGTTGACAGTATCCAAAAATGTCCCAGCTGAAGAGACTAGCCATGTCCCTGCTGAGGTTGATGGGAAGTTGACCGTATCCAGCAATGTCCCAGCTGAAGAGACTAGCCTTGTCCCAGCTGAGGTTGATGGGATATTGTCAGCATCCAGCAGTGTCCCAGCTGAGGTTGAGGGGAAATTGGCAGCATCTAGCCATGTCTCCAATGAGGTTGCTGGAAAGTGGACCGTATCCAACAATGTCCCAGCTGAAGAGTCTAGCCATGTCCCTGCTGAGGTTAATGGGAAATTGGCAGCATCCAGCCAAGACCCAGCTGAGGTTGATGGGAAGCTAACAGTGTCCAACAATGTCCCCGATGAGGTTGATGGGAAGCTAACAGTATCCAACAATGTCCCAGCTGAAGAATCTAGCCATGTCCCTGCTGAGGTTGATGGGAAATTGGCAGAATCCAGCCAAGTCCCTGCTGAGGGGAAGTTGACATCATCCAGCAATGTCCCCG